CCCCAAAACCCCAAAACCCCAAAACCCCAAAACCCCAACTTTATAATTTTAATTGAAACAGGTTACAATTATTAGATCTGGAACAAGTTGATACTTCCATCACCCTTCAGAGATTTTATTTTGTCTAAGAATTCGCTGTTACTGGGCTTCTCCTTTGGGGTAAAGTTTACCTGAGAGTATCTGCTCTTAGTGAAGACCACTCTTTTCTGATCATCTGTAGTTGTTTTTGCCAAAATAGCATCTATATTCTCAATAGGTTTGAGAAAGTCATCTTTGCTAACTGAGATGCAGTTGACTTTAATCCTGCTTGCCTTTGCTGAGTTTCTTCTTGCCAGTTCTTTTACAGGGTTTTGTTCTCTTCCTAGGCATAATTTCCCTTTGTTCTTAATCACCTAAATCTATCAAAAATATTGGTACTTTGACGTCCTTCTTGCAACCGCTTTTTATTCGGAACTTAAAATTCTTAACTTTCTTCTTATTCTCAGGGGAGGTAGTAATTCTTCCCGCAGACTTGGCCCGAGGCTTGGCTTTTAAGGCTTCTATATTCTTGTCTTTCTCTGTCTGGATCCCTTGTTCTATTTTCCCAGTGATCTCGCTGATATTCTTCTTCATATTAAAATTAAGAAACCTCTTTGTGGAGCTATTTCTGGAAGTTACTCACTGTGAGATTCTTTTGTACTTGGACTTCCTTAATTTATTAGTCAAGTAAGGAGTTCTAAGGACTGTTTTAACAGTTCTCAGCTCTTCGTATAGCTTGTTTTTATCTTGAAGCTGCCTCTCCTCGATCGTCTTAAAATGCTGCTTTAGATCGTTTAGCTTCTAAATATTATGTTAAAGATATACAAATTCTTCTATGTCGAGCTGACTTCTGTACTTTGTGTCTAGTCTGTCTTTTTCTATAGTAAGCTTTCTGATCTGCCTGCGAAGGTCTCTGTTCTCCAACTTAAGGTTGTCCATCAGTTCATTTCTAGTCTCATCATCAGCTTGTGTAGACTGATCAACTACTTTATTTTGTAGCTGAAGGGGTTATGCATCAAATTACCGAGACATTTTCCTACAGTGTAGTTTAGCAGATTCTGGAAGGTATTAATATCCTCAGAATCTTTAGATTCCTTCTCTAATTTCATCTTCTTTTGTTGAGTGTTAAGGTCTTGAGTCTTACTCCTCATAAATTTATTTATATTGATGTGGCTTCTTTATGTAAATATCGATAGCTTGGGCGTTGCCTCCCTGTCTATAACTTAGGGAAATGAATTACTTAATTACATCCCAGATGGCAATTTGCTCATAATTTTCAATAACTTTCGCTATACGGAGGTTATTCTCAAACTGATGATTCAGTTTTCCCTTGAGGTATTGGATGTAATCAAAGATTTTGCCAATTTCCTTATTAATAGCCTGTTGAAATCCAACAATCTTCTTAGTTACTATCTGGTCAGCAATGTCAATGACAATGTGCTTGACTGTATCCAGCTGCTTCTGATGAGCAATTTTTAACTTTCTCAAATGGCCTAAAGTTAAGGTAAGCTTCAGCTTGTATCTGACTTACTTAGAAATTTCTTTCTCTCAATTCTGGCATCATAAAATATTTTTGATTTGTACGGTTTATCCATAGTAAGATCATATCAAGCATGGATCCGGTTTCTATCTAACGAGTATGACCGTCGTGAGTCTTTGACTTTAGGGAGCACTTCTAAGTCACTTTTTGATTCATTCAGCCTATTATCTGCATGCCCAATCTGATAATATTTCAATTCAGATTTTGTTTTGAGAAGTTTCTTGACCTTAGCTTTACTAATCTCATTAAAATCAACTAAATTTATCTATGACTGCTAAAATTACTGTCTATTTTGCCAAAATTCTGGATCCTCATTTTCTCATATCGTGTGGTCACATTTTCAAGCCAGTTCTTCAAATCGATTCCTTTCTTCGTGAAGCTCATGAGATTGTAATCTCCATAAATCTCAGGGTCAAGGATATTCATAGGTGTGTCATCCTTCATGATGGAGATTTTGACTATATAATAATGCTAAGCGTGGATAGTTGGTGCATATACCTTCTCTTCAGAGCTCTCTGATCCACTGATTCGACATTACAATTCAATTTTATGAAATATTGTCGGGGTTTTGGGGTTTTGGGGTTTTGGGGTTTTGGGGTTTTGGGGTTTTGGGG